ACGATTCATAACAGTAGCAAAATTACAGTTATGAAGTAGCAACGAAAATAATTTTATGGTTGGGTCACAACATGAGGAACTGTATTAAAGGGTCGCGGCGTTAGGAAGGTTGAGAACCACTGCTCTAGAGGCTGGCAGTCAGCAAGACCCAAGCTCCCCACCTCCCCTTCCTAGTGTCACCTCTCTGGATACCCCTGAGGTCTAATGGCTGATTTGGCAAGGCCTCCGGAGGCCCTGGGTGCCAAGTTCATCCCCGAGGGCTTCAGCATCTACTTCCTGTGGGGAATTTATGTACACCCAACCCCCTCCCAGGGACTATCAGAACATGATAGGAGCCTCCTGGAAAAGACTGAAATTTCTCTCAATCGGAGGGAATAGACTAGGAACCTTCACATCTGAGGTACAGATATAAATGTGACCTCATTTATCCTCACAGGCTGTGGGATGTGTGACATGCTTATTAACCCAGAAACACTGCCTTCACGACCCTGCCTTTGCACATAACATTTCCATGTCCAGGACACCCTGTGTCTTTTGGTGCCCATGTCACATGGTGCCTGTGTGGCCATGTGATTGGATCCCTTTCCTTGCCACTTATAAGATGTTGACTGTCTGTCTCTCATAGGAAACTATGATCAGAAACCTACTTCTATTTATCTTGTATTTTTGGTGTCAGGCATGGGGCGGTGCCTGTCAGGTAGTTAAGTGACTTCATCACTAAGTGGGGAATCAATGAATGAGTCTGGAGCACCCATGTTGAGGCCAAGACCTCGCTTCTGGGACGCATGGCTCCACCTGCGGAGGTGTGCTCCCTGCGAGGACAGCTACTGCTGACAGGACTGAGGCCTGCATGGGCCAGAGAACACAAGGAGTGCGACTCAGCAGAGCTGTGAGGATATGTGCAGAGGGGTGAGCTGCCAACCCAAGGACTATCACCACAGTGGTAAGCAGTCACTGACCTAAGCCGGGAGTTGATTCTGCTTAGGCCAAAGGTGGCCAAGGTAGCATGAAGACAACCCAGCCCTGGCTGGGTGGCTCAGCGGGTTGGAGCGTTGTCCCTTGCACCAAAAGGTTGCAGGTTCAATTCCCTGTCCAAGCACATACCTAGGTTGTGGGTTAGATCCCCGGTCAGGGTGTGTGCAGGGAGGCAATTGATTGATGTTTCACACACTCTCTCCCCCACTTCCTCTCTCTCTGAAATTAATTAAAAAACAACAACACATATCCTCAGGTGAGGATTAAAAAAAAAGACTGAACCCATAATAATGTGTTGTTTTACTAACCTTTATTTTTACTTTGTGGATGAACAGCAGTGTGTTCATAAATTGCCTTTCAGGTTAAATCCTGCCCTGAAATTGACAAATGGTTTTGTTTCCCAAGAAAACTTCATTGCTTTATAGCCATGGGAAGAGAGGAAAGTGATAACTACAGTGAGGGATCTCACACAAAGTCTTCATGGGTTAACCCTCCACTTGCAGAATGTCATCCTAGGTCAGTGGTCGGCAAACCTCGGCTCGAGAGCCACATGCGGCTCTTTGGCCCCTTGAGTGTGGCTCTTCCACAAAATACCACGTGCCGGCGCGCACGTACAGGGAACATTATAGAGTGAAAGAAGATGTAGTGTCGAGGATTGAGAAAGGTATGTTGAGATGGTTTGGACATATAGAGAGGATGAACGAAAGGAGATTGACGAAACAAGTAAACAAGACGAGTGTGGATGGAGAGTTGGAAGGGGTCAACCTCAGCGAACGTACCTCAATCAGATTGAGGACGTTTTTAGCAAAGGCCAGCTTAGGAGTACCCTAATTAAGTTAATAACAATGTACCTACCTATATAGTCTAAGTTTAAAAATTTGCTCTCAGAAGAAATTTCAATCGTTGTACTGTTGATATTTGGCTCTGTTGACTAAGGAGTTTGCCGACCACTGTCCTAGGTCATCTTTTCCCGAATATGGAAAGCGATGCAGATACCCATTCATAGCAGA